CAAATTCATCAGTCAACACCATTGCTGAGCATTTTCTCCTTGAAATCCAGTGTAGCAAAGACGTGGTTTGAAATCACCCCTGTTTCCTATGTCACAAACATGTAACCAATCCTGTTAACTTGTAGGGCAGGACTTTTCATATCGTTAGCAAAGTGTTTCTACATATGGATGTTGAGTTTTAGAATGTAGCTCTCTGAGATGACGAACAGGAACATGGTTTGTGTAACATTTGTAACACATTATTAGCTGTCTGACGTTGTAGAGAGCTATACATAAAATATATTGCCATTCTGATACATTGACAGTTTCTACAGTAGTTCAAACATTTACGGATGGATTTATGTAATATTGCCACTTGCCATTGTGTAGCGTTAGCTACTTCAGTTAACCGAGTGAAAGTGGAGCAGTTTTGAGCTGGTGGATTGAGTGGAACATATTCATGCGGTTCTGCTTATACTTAGAGTTAAAGGGTTAGTTCACCCAAATATGAAAACTGCCCCATGGTTTACTCACCCTCATACCATCCTAGGTATATATGACTTTCTTCTTTCAGACGAATACAATCGGAGTTATATTAAAACCCCTTAACTGTCACTGTCTCGCAGTGGGCGAGGGTGACAGTTAAGAGGTTAAAAAAACGTCCTGGCTCTTCCAATCTTTATAATGGCAGTGAATGACTTCCTTTCAACAAACTGCTTCGCTTGTACAGTTCAATTGATCTGATATTGAACTATTCAGATAAATGATTTATATTTAGACAAGCGGAGCATTTGGATCGGGTTCGGAGGGGGCGGATGTTCTTCTCTGTGCTTTGGACCGAGAGGATGATTGTGAGTTGAGATAAGACAGCTGTTCGATCTTGTGGCGGAGTGCGGCTCAGCACGAGGGCTTCGTGATTTGTGAATAGCTCTCATGGCTACTGGCACAGTTTAATTGAGTGATTTCAGCAACTCAGACAGGAAAGGGAAACGGCAGGCAGAGATGGTGCTTCCTGGGTTTTTTTCCCCCTGGAGCATTTTGGGGCTGCATTTGACAAAGTGTTTTGCATTTTTTGGCTGTAAAACTTAGAGTTTATATTGAAAGTTTCTTGAAATGTTCAAACAGGGCGGGTAATATTTCTGCTGGACTTCATTTGTAGTCTTACGAATGCGACCAGTTCAAATTACCGTAAAACTCACAAGCAGGGAATTGTTCTTTTAATGCACATGTGCAACAGCAATACACATCAAACAAACAACCTTGTCAGTTGTTTTCCTCTTGCTTGATTATTTTTTCATGTGCTGGCTGTGTTATCTCATCCATCTGCACTCCCATGTGTGTGTTAAACACCAGGAGGTAATCGCACAGCAAAATTTCATCAGAATCTCAGCAGGTATGATAACATACATCCCAGGTTGTCTCACACGGTTGAGCAGAGGTCATGCTGGAGAGTCTAGATACATTAGAGGGTCAGAGATGTTCCAACAGCCAATATAAAGGGTCGATGAGGCTTTTATATTTTACTAGATTAATCATTTGTAATGTTGCTGTGTAAAGAATCACCATTAGTTTTGCTCATTTTGAACAAACCCTTTACCTTAAAGGTCCCATATTGTAAAAATATTGTTTTTCACGATAACTGAGGTCTAGGGGCTATTTAACTACCATATAAGTTTCAAAATAGTCAGTCCACAGTAAAATTCACACAGCCTGCATAAAGTAGCTGTGATTTTTCACGAACCATTGTGACTTCCGTAAAAAGTTGACGTCAGAACTACACAGTCACTGCCTTCAGTCACCACCCCGAGCACCGCCCACCCTCCCACTCTTCTTTTGCCAAACCCCAGACAACATCACGTCCATGCCATTGCTGAGCAAAAACAACACAGGAAACATGTCGAAAAGGTTAACTTTAACCACGAAACCAGATCGGCCCACCTGTAACATTACACTCTCACTCAAAGGATGGACGATCTGACAGGATTGTTACTATGAGACAAACTCACCGTGTCTATCTAGTCATGATGAAGATGTATATACATTTCAATATCAGCAGGCAACTATTTTTACAGCTACATTATTGTTCCAGCCTCATCCTGAGCGTGTTCAACAGTCGGCGCCTGACGCGTCTTCTTCTCCTTCTAGCAAGAAGAAGACGCGTCAGGCGCCGGCTGTTGAACGCACTCAGGATGATCTCTGGACATTGCGGTGAAAACATACATCCCAGGTTGTCTCACACGGTTGAGCAGAGGTCATGCTGGAGAGTCTATAGATACATTAGAGGGTCAGAGATGTTCCAACAGCCAATATAAAGGGTCGATGAGGCTTTTATATTTTACTAGATTAATCATTTGTAATGTTGCTGTGTAAAGAATCACCATTAGTTTTGCTCATTTTGAACAAACCCTTTACCTTAAAGGTCCCATATTGTAAAAATATTGTTTTTCACGATAACTGAGGTCTAGGGGCTATTTAACTACCATATAAGTTTCAAAATAGTCAGTCCACAGTAAAATTCACACAGCCTGCATAAAGTAGCTGTGATTTTTCACGAACCATTGTGACTTCCGTAAAAAGTTGACGTCAGAACTACACAGTCACTGCCTTCAGTCACCACCCCGAGCACCGCCCACCCTCCCACTCTTCTTTTGCCAAACCCCAGACAACATCACGTCCATGCCATTGCTGAGCAAAAACAACACAGGAAACATGTCGAAAAGGTTAACTTTAACCACGAAACCAGATCGGCCCACCTGTAACATTACACTCTCACTCAAAGGATGGACGATCTGACAGGATTGTTACTATGAGACAAACTCACCGTGTCTATCTAGTCATGATGAAGATGTATATACATTTCAATATCAGCAGGCAACTATTTTTACAGCTACATTATTGTTCCAGCCTCATCCTGAGCGTGTTCAACAGTCGGCGCCTGACGCGTCTTCTTCTCCTTCTAGCAAGAAGAAGACGCGTCAGGCGCCGGCTGTTGAACGCACTCAGGATGATCTCTGGACAGTTCGGACATTGCGGTGAAAATCAGTGGTAAAAAACGATATAAATACTGTTCAGTTTCTTGCACAGACCGATCGTTTCATGTATCGTCACGAGCCGCAGTGTTTAATTTGGTTTTGTTTGTGTATGTTTTTTGACTCTCAAAGCCATGATTCCCATCCACTTGCATTATAAGACTGACAGACTGCAATGGTTTGACTTAAAAATCTTTGTTTGTGTTCTACTGAAGAAACAAAATCACCTACATCTTGAATGCCCTGGAAGTAATCAGATAAACATAACATTTTCATTTTTGGGTGAACTATCCCTTTAAATTTAGTTATGGAATAGGATTAAGGGATCTAGCAAAAAATGGCATTAATATGTGCTTTATAGATATTAATAAACAGCCAATATGTTAGTAATATGCATGCTAATAAGCAACTAGTTAATAGTGAGAATTGGTCCTTAAAATAAAGTGTTGCTTTTTTTTTTTTGTGAATCTGGCCCCAGAATAGAGACTTTATTGTGGGTGTTTTTCTTAGGCCAGTATCTCATTTTATAATGTCTCTGTTTTTTTTCCTCTTGCCTGCAGTTGTAAATGGCTTGCGAAGGTTTTGAAAGCTGTGATATCTAATAGAAAGCGATGATTAGAAATAGATTGGTGCAACCTAGCAGCACATTCCTTCCTCATATAATACTATGCAAATGAATACAGATCGCTGGTTTTAGCACCACAGAGAACACCTCACACAGGACTGCATGAGGTTGTGCTGCT